ATGCATTTAAAACACTGTCTGGATTAAAAATTGCTTTTGCTAATTGCAAAAGTTAAATGAGTTATAACAACTTCTGCTCAAAACCAAATGAGTTACCTCCAAATCAGAGTGGTTTACAACTCTCTCCAGTTGTTAAATGCTCTCAAGATGAGAATCATAGATAGCACACAAAATATTTGAAGCACTGGCCAACAAGAAATGTGTCCTAAATGGCTGGTTTCCATTTTGTTCAAACTCAGACCCATTAAAAGCCAGACAGATTAAAGATAGGTTTCAGGTCTATGTTCATGCAGTTCTGTATAGTAACCCAAGTAAATATTCAATAAATTGTTTTGGATGCCTGTGTAAACAAAAGGTCTATAAACATCTTCAATAAAATCCAACAAGGCAGCCTGCATTTTGCTTGGCAGAATATTTTCTTTATGCACTTAGATTAACAAACCATGATCTCATCGTTAGTCAACAAGATACTAAAGAGACCATCAAAGCAAACTACAGGAGAGTCAAGATTGATTCATGCCAAACAAATGTTTGTAGCTAACAGCTGTATTACCACTGATTCTAATTTACTCAGCAGGATTCTCCTTTCATTTCTGAAATGTCACAAGGCATGATGTAGACAGCATGTCTGCCTACCTACTGCACAAGTAATGAGTTGTGTCAGCTCTCTTGGATCATGCAATCTTTGGCTGCTTTTGGACATCATAAAGAATTACATATTGGCATTTTCACTTTTAACAACAACCCTAAAGGCGATCTCTTCTGGTTTAAGTCTGTTAGCTAACCATGCTACAGAAATGCTCTGTTCAAAATAGGGAGGATTTAGGGAGGCTACATTATCGTTCGACAATTTGTGCTTCTTGAATGAAAAGTAGGTCTTTTCCTTCCTAGTGTTTTTGGTAGAATTTAGGGAGCTGTCCTTGGACAACTGTTTTTCTTCTTTACCAACAAAAGCTACATGTCAAAGGGATTCTTGAAACTGAAACAAATGGGGCAGTGCATCAGTCTGTCAGAGTTAAGAGGAGTTCAGCCACGGACTTCCATGGGGCCAGGATTTTACCTAACATACAGATAAGCCATTTATAGCTAAGGATTCTCTCCAGTCATTTCCGTTTGGGATTCCCATTTCATTTATGCAACACTATTCACAGCGCTCTTTTCAGGGCTTCCCCTCACTAAGGGCATTGCATAGCCAAAGAAAGCTGCTCTTTATGACAGTATTTCAATATTCATTAATCTTTGCTGGATCTGGGGACACACCCTGAACATGCCATGTGGTCCTGAAATGCCTCTCAGAAAGATTCTGCATACAATCTGGAATTAAAAAAAAAAAAAAAAGACTAAGCAGCAGCATGGGTTTGAAGGTTTTGCCAAAACACTGACATTTTGTACCTCAAGAGTTAGAGAGATAGATAAAACTATAATTTCAGAAATCATTGAATTTCATATCTGATCATACTATTTGCCCACAACTTTATCCATCTCTTGTAACTTAAAACACTTAACTGTTCTTTAGATACTCTCCTAATATCCCAGGCAAGGTATAATAGCAAAGAAGGGCTGGCTGTCCAGTTACTCAGAACACCTAAATAACTGAAGATGAATTTCTCCTCTGTCAGTTTTTGCACTGTTCATAGAAACTTACAATCTACATAGCTTTCCTGTGCACTCAAGCTTATCTCTGCAGTCTTGCTTATGGCAGTGTACAAGGAAATCATCTGCTGTCCAGCTAGACTGCTGTTCCCCTTGACTCTGGTGTTCCTAGTGTTCCCTAGTGGCTTACTGTGTATCTGTGATCAAAGGAAGCTCAGGACAGGGAAGATCCTGGACACTCGGATGGAGCCAAAGAGGAAATATCACAGGTTTGCTTTTGACTTCTGAGATTTCCAGTGCTTTAACAATAACAGACAAAACCACTGGTACCTTTTTGAAACACACATTTGTCTAAAATCCAAAACCGAAGAGAATATGAAAGGCAATAGACCTTCTTGAATTTCTGCACAGATATATTTTTAAAATGACTGCATGAACCTCCTCTTGAGAGAGACAACGAACTTTCAAACACAGAAGGCACAAACAAATAACAATCAAGTGTTGTAGATCATGATATGCTCTCAACTCCTAACATCATACAGTTCACAGTCCAGAAACAGATCCTTCCAGCACTATCCTTCAAGTAGCTTTCTTTGCACATGGATGCTGCAGAATGCTTCTTTAATCTTTTTTGTTGTTGTTGTTCTGAATAACAAATTGTTTTCTTTGAGATCGGCCAAATTACATCTGCCTCACTCTCCATGCAACTTAAAAGGTTATGGTACTTCACAAGTTATCCAGAGATACTCCTGATATCAATCTTGAAGCCTATTCAAAACAAGGATGGGGAGTCCGGGTTTTCTGTTCTGTGGGGGAGTCCTCTCTTCCAGCGTTCCCTTGCAAGGCTGCACTGCCTGTTGGGAGCTCACAGATAGAGCTGAGAGACGCCACAGGAAGCATGTACTAAAAGACCATACAGATTGGAACACTATCACTTATCCCTTTCATGCTGTCTTTCTCCATAAAGACAGAGTCAGTTACAAAAGGCTGCTTTTGTCACTAAATAATCAGAGCGCTGGTGCCCTCCCCAAGACTTTCCTGAACCTGTTAGTGCACAGGGCACAATAGGAGCACACTGAACAATAATGTTGAGCAGCATGAGCCCTACCAACCTGATGTCTGCACTGACTGCTGATGGAAAGGATACAGTGAAGCTGTCTGTTAAGTTTATGCTTGGAAACTTGACAACAACCTCCATTTACTAACAGCACTCTGGACAACACTTTTCCAAATTAAGCCCATTGTCTCCACGTCTTTTGGATTTTAATATTTGCCATACACATATTTGGACTTGCATATTTCCCAATCACTTGTTTGTACAGAATTCTTTACAAACCTCTATTTACACGGACAAAACAACTTTGACATTAAAATGACAGAATGGAAGCGTGAGAGATGGTGGGCTGGACACATTGCTCTGACTTCCTTGGTATACTCTGTTCTTTGGGGATTTTGGAGAGGAAATAGGGGATTGTTGTTCTTTGAAAGAGGGAAGCTCAAGGCAGCGAGGGTAAGAATGGCATTGGCTGGCACTGGCTATAAACATAGCACTCTCACTGGTTTTCAGTGTAAATTTTCAGCCCAGCTTGAGAGGTTGGGATTTCCAAATGACATGTTCAATGTATGTGGTGGGGGTGGAGGGCAGAAAGCGTTCTTCTTTTTCATGTTCACGTCTGGCTGTCAGTCAAGCATAGCAATAAAATCAGCTCCAATTAAGGAGGATATGCAAGGAATTTCATGATAATGTCAACACTCCATTCCATCAATACAGGAGTAAAGAAAATAAGTTAATGTTAATTTCTTTTTTTGAAAAAGAAATAACCTCAGTCACACTCGATAGCGGTATCACCAGATAAACAGTTAATCACAAAGGTACATGAAGTAGTTGACAATTCCTTCATTATCCTCTGGGCTTTTAGCTTTGTTTTTTCTGTGGGGGCCCTGGTTTCTGTTTCATTTGCTTTCTGATTACTCCAGTGCTGAGTTAACTTTCTCCAGCAGACTAACTTCAGTTCTGTAAGAGGTTGAGCTTCTCTTTCATTAACCCCTTACTGCTGGGAATCTCACTCACCTGACATTAGGAAGAGAAACAGACAACTGAGAAATCCCAACAGCCAGAGCCTAGAGTACTAGCGGGAGACTGAAGTCCAGTTGTTGACAGAATTTTGAAGACAAAACCCTCATTCCTGGTGAACATAGCATGAGAGTTTGAGTTCTGGTCAGCATCTCTCTCCATGTCACTCGGCATCTAACTTTCTGTGAGACCTTAAAACACGTTGCAGAGGCCTAAATCTATCTATTACTACTTCCCTAGATAGAAAAATAGTTACCATTACACTGCAACAGGACAAAATCTGATCTATTTTGGATTCACTGTTCCAGAGAGGGGAGAATCTCCAGGGAGCACAGCTGCCTCTCCAACTGTACTCCCCATCTGTACTGGGTACAGGAAACATGACATATATGTAGCTGTCGAAATGCTACGCCATTTAATCAATCCTTATGTTCCTAGGTCAGATTGGCAACTTGAGGCTGCTCTGATTTCCTCTTAGGGCTGCATTCTGCTCCAGCTGACCCCACAATCTACAAAGGCATTTCAGAGGCACTTTTGACCTCCTTGACCCATATTAAGATCATCTGTGGTACAGTTGAGGGTTAGATGTGGGAAGGTACATTTGGAACTGCTTGCCCTTCTTGGTATTCTGCTGCACACTGCTAATCCTGCAGAGAAGACTGATGTTTTTGTCAGAATTTGATATATGCTGGATTATGATTTCACTGTTAAAATTACTTAAATTTTGGAGCACTGAAAACTGCATTTTGAGAACAGAGGCCGTCCTACAAACTGGTTTAGCTAGCAGTTCAGAAACTGTAAGTACTAGAGTGAAATAAATTCTAAAAGTAGTGATCATCTGGAGTAACTAATACCTGGACTATATAAAGAAGTGTGACTGCAGTTATTACTGATGAATAGTAATAAGTACACACTTAACACATGCTCAAATATCAGATCTATTTTCTTCCACATGAAACTGAAAATTACATAACCAAACCTATTGCTAACAGTACGGAGAACCTTGTGCACATGCCAGTAATTTGGATGGAAGTAATTCTAGTTACACCAATTTCAGATTTTTAACTTGGCCACCCATAGCACCCTAAAAGACAGCCCCAAGTCATTTTAGCATAGATACCAGGGGAGGAAAGATACAAACACTTCTCTTTGTGTCAGGCCTCTACAATTCTAGAAAAAAACCTGGAAAGCTGTCCACTGCTGATGTGAATCTGTTTGGATTGAAGAACCTGCTGGATTATTTAAAGCTCTGGTCCAGTGATGTCCAACACTGGCTGTTAAAGTGAACTGTATGACTACATTGCCTGTAAAATGCGTCTCCATTTCCTTTCAGGTCGGAAAGCTGATCCAAGAAGCAGCTGGAAGGAGTAATTTGAAGAGAGTTACACTGGAGCTGGGTGGGAAAAGCCCAAACATTATTTTTGCAGATGCGGATTGTAAGTCAGCACTTCCACATTTTCCCTAAAAACATGTTTGTGTGTTGTCATTTTAGGGCATATCTTTCATTCAAATTGAAATGGATAAATATAGCTGTATCTAATCACGCTTTTGATATTACAGAAACAGCCTGGTTTTTTTTTGTTTTTTTTTTTTTAAAGACACCACTTGTACCCAGAGATTCACAGAGAACAACAGAACAAAGAAGCAGTTATAACCAATCTGGTGTTAGTCAAAATCACGGTCCTATACATATTTGTAGTCCTAAACTCTGCAGCAAGGTACTCCAGCACTTTAGACCTGGAAATTCTGTGATAGCAGATTCACAGCAATTATAAAAAAGAAGGGCTTAAATTAAGTCATTTGAATGGTGATCTAGTCACTGCAATATTCCTTTGTTAAGCTGTTTTGATAATAGCTACACATTGATATTATTCCATTTTAAAAATTTTCACAACTGAAGAATTGCGTATTGAAATATCCTCACTGCCATTGTCAGCAGGGAGCTGAAGGTTTTGGCAGCTGGATGATTTTGTGCAGCTGGGATTTTTGGCACCTGGGAAGGTACAGGACAGCAGCTCAGGATAGGATAAAAACACGAACTGGAAGTTTCTGCTTAAATGATCAGTAATGAAATAGTTAACAATGTTGATATTGAAATTGTCAGCAGGAGGTTTTGACATTAACACCTCATTAAGATGAATGGGACAGTTCACACCTTGCTCTGAGCTATTGTTCCAGGCTGTGTGCAGGCACACTGTACTTACCGCATTTTCTGAGAACTTACTTTGTAACCAAAGGAATAGAAATTTAAGGTGTTTTTTTTTTTTAATTTGAAAGGGGAAAGTGAATGGAAGAATGATTCTGAATCGCATAAATTACAAGAGTTGGTTACAATCCTATGTTCATTTAAAAAACTTATCAATGACATCTGAAAGGCTAGGAGCAAGGTTGCGAACTTTCAGCAACTGAAGGCTTTTCTACATAGGAAAGTTTTACCATGTTGGGGGGTCTAAGTTACAGCTGTAGTCATCCCTGTAAGCTAAAAAAGGCTCCTGGTTAACTGTAGCCAGGTGCAGATGTTACAGCCCTCTACCCCAATTACTCAGCTGCATCTCTCACCAGAAATCACCATGCTCTCAGATGTCCCTAACCTACTAATCACACATACCTGATCACCTTTTGTACAGCAGTACGCGCTAGGACCAGGTCTGCATTATGGCTGTCCACAGAAGGACAAATACTGCTTAGCTGCCATACAGAACTATAGTTTATCTGTGACTTGCTGTATCTGCCCAGATAAGGTTGAGGACCTGGGGAGAAGCCACAGGCAACAGAGGAATGAATAATAGGGCAAGGAGAGGGAGCAAAGCCTTCTTCAGGACTGTTCCACACTGTATCATACTAATGATCTCTGGCCTGCCCATAACTACAACCACCAGCACTTGATCTGATGAGGTTCAGACTTCAAAGCTATTATTATTTAAGAACAGACAATTTGTTCACCATTCCAAAGGAACAGTTTGTTCTGTTGGAGGAACACTGTGTACCAAAAGTTAGCAGAAAGCATGACAAAGCTCTTGAAAGTATAGTGTACCAAAAAGAAGAATGGTTAGAGCCCTTCATAATGCAAAACTGTGTTAAGAAAAGAAACATCAGTTTCAGGAAGAAACATCAGTTAATCAGTTCTATGCACCGTTGCAATCTCTGTAGAGCTGCCTTGGGAAAATTTGAATGTGGTCCAGGGAACACCCTAAATAATATTTTTCAACATCATGCTGAAGGCAGAATAGGATATTTTTGCTAGATGAAGTTGTCTAGGATGTGCTGCAAGTAAAGCACTGTTGTTTTGTTTATTCCATAAATAATGATATTTAAGCAATGTTCCAAAGTGCTACAGCTGATAACAGAGGTATTGCAGTGCTGCAGGCTATCGCTTTATAATGATGAATTCAGTATCATACAGCTCAAATTCTTCGCTACTCAGCTATTATACCCAAGGGGAGAATCTGAATGTCTAAATGTAGCTGGATTTTCCTCTCCTGCTTGAGTACTGGATGAGCTGGCTGTACCTCAAGGGAAGCTGGAAAGGAAATCATGTATTGGTTGTTCCATAATTGAAATATATTTTTAAGGCTTCACCTGGCCACCTGTACAGGCCAGGAAGATGTTTCTGTCTTGCAGCAACATAACCTGGCTTTTTGTGAAGGATGTGTTTTGCCATTATCGAAGTTAAATTCTCTCAGGTACTTGGATGGTTATAATCCTTCTCACAACAGGATTAAACCAACTGCAAACTTGCAGTAAGAGACAGATTTTTCCCCTTCCCTACTGTGCCCAGCCAGGCAGGCTTCTATAGTGTGGGGCACCATCCACTTCCTAGGGTCGTCTTAGAGTTTAGTTTATAAATTACAAGTTGCAGGGCCATAAGATATTGGTGAAATTGTTCTCAAATGGCCTACTCCTATAGCTTGCTACAGCTGTGTCTTGACTTTTGCTGCAGACTTAATTTTTGCTATGGGATATTAGGCAATATTTTGTGGCTTGTGTCATGAGATGCCATGTGGAATGTATTATCTATGGACCCTTCTTTACCTAGACAGTGCCTGAAATCCTGAGTGGTCCCTTGCAATCTGGTCTTTCTGAAACAGTTGTAACGCTCCTAATACTACCTAATACCAGTATAGCTGTGCCCAGGCTAACATACACAGGGAAAAAAATCAACTTTAGATACTAAAAAATTCCATATTTTCACAGGGATTATGACACAAAATGAAATGAATCTTCTTCCTTTATGACCTAACACAATAATAATATGGGGTTTTTTAACCGAACCCACTACTTCTGCTTTGAAGTTTTGGGAATGTGACACCATCTAATACACACGATGCTAGCGCAATAGCAGATGCGTCTATGATGTCTCACAGCAGTTTGTTCTGTCTTTGTTTTGTAGTGGACTATGCTGTGGAACAAGCTCACCAGGGGGTCTTCTTCAATCAAGGTCAATGCTGCACTGCAGGCTCCCGGATTTATGTGGAAGAATCAATCTATGAGGAGTTTGTTAGAAGAAGTGTAGAACGTGCAAAGAGGAGAGTAGTAGGGAGTCCTTTTGACCCAACTACAGAACAAGGTCCACAGGTAAAGAAATAGTGCTTCAGCTGGACAGCCTAGATGGTGCCTGGAAGCATTTAAACCGTAGTAAGACAGAGGTCTCTCAGTGCATACTCTTTGCAGTCCGGAGTAGCTGATTTGACAAATGTCTGAAAGGTGAAAACTCTAAAGGAGCTAGATTATCTGTGCAGCACCGAGGTGTCCTAGTGTAGTGGAAGCCCTCATCTTAAATACTAGAAAGTTTGGCTCACAGCTTTAACAGCAAGATTCTGGCCTTTGGTCCCCAGCACGCAGCTACAAACTCTACAGTGCTACCATTCATAGGAGAGAAGCTTGCAAGAGTCTCTTTCTAAACACTTGTTTTTAAGAACTGTCTACAACCAAAACTGTGCTTGTAGACCACTAGAGAGAAATGAGTTCTAAGCAAAAGATGGGCTGAATTAGAAACTGCTGTTCTGAAAACATAGTGCCACTGTAATAATGCCTGGCTTATATCATTTTTAAGAAGTTAATGTGATTCATCGGGCCAAAAGAAAAAAAAAACGCCCTTCTTTCTTTGTACTTACTAACCAGATTCCTTAGCAAGGATGTGGGGTCTAGCCACATCCATAACGCATTTTTAAGAAGACTGAGTCTTAGATTACAGTCAGCAGCCATTTGTAGATCTTTGGCATCTCCAGCTCAAGCAGTAGTGAATATAATAAGCATGAGTCTACTCACTGGGAAATTACTTGCCTAAAAATTTACTCTGTTTTGATAGTCAGGTGCATGGTCTGCAAGTAAAATTGATTCTTCTCTCTTTCACAGATTGATAAAAAGCAATACAACAAAATCTTGGAACTGATTCAAAGCGGCATTACTGAAGGAGCAAAACTTGAATGTGGGGGTAAAGGGCTAGGAAGAAAAGGCTTCTTTATTGAACCTACAGTATTTTCCAATGTTACAGATGACATGCGGATTGCGAAGGAAGAGGTACTCATACATGCGGGCAAGATCATTTTGGAATGTCCTAAGCACGCGTCTGTTTCTCTTATTTATTTTCTGGGACAAAAGCTTTCAAGTGAAAATTACCACCATAAAAAGAGACTAGAATCTCTTCAGAATTCTGTATGCATGAAGCAACTTATAGCATTGGTTTGAGTAAAGAAGCTCAATTTTTGTCATTGGCTATAAAGCCTCCGACCTCAAAGAAAAGATAAGGGAGGAAATGGATGAGTTCCACTGGGACAACTGCTTTGGGAAGTTCATACAGTTTTACAGAGAGGTATTACCACTAATAAATGTTGCTGTGGGAATTTCTAAAGAGTAAAACAGGAGAAGGAAGACATCTAAAAAGCAGAATAAATTAAGAATAAAATGTCTCTGAGTGGTGTGTTTTATAAATTAATGACTAATCTTTCTTGCAGATTTTTGGGCCTGTTCAAGAAATACTGAGATTTAAAACCATGGATGAAGTTATAGAGAGAGCCAACAATTCTGATTTTGGGCTGGTAGCTGCTGTCTTTACAAATGACATAAACAAGGCCCTGACAGTCTCTTCAGCAATGCAGGCTGGGACAGTCTGGTAAGGCCGAAGTTATCACACTCTTGGAGATAAAGAGTTTGACTCACAATCGTTATGTCACCTCAGTTTTGCACCTTTGTCTCAAAAGTGTTTATCTAGACCATCCTAAAGGTGAATCACTGAGATATGAACCAGCTGTAAGGGCGGTGTTGTCACTCTGCTCACTGTGGGTGAATGCTGTTGTCTGCAGACTTGTTGAAAAATGGAAAGTGCAGTCACACTGCTGAAGGGCACAGCTGAAAACAAACAATCCAGAGTAAAAATGACCCTTTCTGTGGAGCAGAGGAATCCTGAAAGGTTTCTGCTGATGGCACAAAGAATCCTGCACTTTCTGTAAAACCACCATCCAAGAACCAAGGGAAGACCCATTCTCTCTAGCCCCTGGGAGTAGGCGATGACACTTCTAAAGTTTGATACCTTGCAATTTGATATGTCAAGTCTGGATAAAATAAAATTCCAAATGAAATCGGGCGGAAAAAGGGCAAATTCAAATCTAATAGCTCTGTGTTACAACCTCGCATTGAGGTTTGTCAGCAAATTAACAGTTCATTTACTGAAGCTGCATCCAAGTGTTCTTTTGTCCTCCTCCAAGTCTTCACAGACCAGATCCTGTTCTCTTTTTGAATGAGAAGCACAGTGCTGCTATTGCAGCATAAGTCCATCTTTTTTCTTTTAAAAAATGACAAGTTTGTTATTACAAAGAGCTATACAGTATCCTTAGCTCCGCAAGTTTCAGTCTCCCCCTCAGTTTTCAAAATGCCTCTCTGATAATGCAATCAGACTTACTGCCTTTCCCTTTTACAGGATAAATTGCTACAATGCCTTAAATGCCCAAAGTCCTTTTGGAGGATTCAAAATGTCTGGCAATGGGAGAGAAATGTAAGTATTATGTTGTTATCTTCTTAACTGTTTTCAGCTCTACAACTCAATGAACATTAGTGAATCCTTCCACACAAATTCCACCTAGAAATATTCCCATCTGAGGATTAGGGCACAGTGTAAGATGACTGATAGTTATTGCCAGTTGTATATGGCAAGATCGTTTTTTCCTTTTTTTTCTTCTTTCTTCTTTTTTTTTTTTTTGACACAGCAAAATAAATTCTTGGCACTACCTTCTTATTCTGAAAGAAACTGAAAATTTCTGAGTATTTTGCTGCACTGTAAACCTGTGTTCCAAGAGAATTTTCCTTAGCTGTATTAACCAGTGTTTTTCTAGAAAGATTCATTTTTTGTTATTTGTTTCTGTTTGCTTTGGACTGGTTTGGTGTACTTGTTTGAGTTGTTTGCCATATATCTTGCCCCTCTCGCTGAAACTTTGTATTTTTTCGTTGCTTTACTTTTTGCTACATTTATTAGTATAGGTCCATCTGAATTTAATTAAAATGTTATCTTTCTCTTCCAGATTTAAAAACAATGTTAAATGAAATCAGGCCTAGACAAGAATAGACAACTGTTTACAACCCTTTAAAAATCACCTTCCATTACAAAGCTTTCTGTCTTTTCTTATTGCATTTAGAAGTAAGTGCCAAATATTTTGAAATGGAGCTCCACCCTCAAATGCTTTCCATGTACCTAGCTTAAAGTCTTATTAATTTTTAATTGTCATTACAATCACAAGGAAATTTAGCAATTCCATCAGCCCCAGATAGGTTATGCATTTCTTTATATATATATATATATATGAGAGGGATTTAATTATTTTCTGTGCAGGAGGCATATGTACCAGTTACGTCCCACCTAAACTTTCAAAATAGCTTATGGCTAATAGCAAACTCAGCAGTAAAACTAAAATAAGGTCAAACTCTTTAAAACTTTAAATACATTGAAGTATACAACTTGATCTATAAAATGAGCTCTATGTAGTCTGAAATATTTTCCCTCATTAGGGAGTACTTTGAATAACACATTCATACTATTCTTCACATGCATGAGTTATGAGGTGATCTCACACTGGCATAAATATGTCAGCTCATCTAACTCTTATCATTGTGAAAATATTCTAGAACTACTAAGCTGAATAGAGCACATGAGTAACTTGACACCCAAGACTGACCCTACTGACTTCAGGGAGGTTAACTCTGCAAGCAAAATATTCACATATTGATATCGTACAGTTTTCCAAAGGGGCGAAAACAGGCAGCCCCCCAACTCTCATGGAAAAATCTATGGGAGTAGTACACTTGATTCCCATCTACAGCTTTGAAAATCTTTACTATAAACAATAAATGATGGGAATAGAAATAATATCCCTCACACAAAGATGCCTGAAAACCTACTCATGAGTAATTAATCTATTATTCATTTAAGAACCTCTTGATCAGATAACCTATCAAGGCTTCTAATTTGTCCTCCCCCTGCCCCATTTATTATTTGCATACTGTTTATTAAAATGCCAAAGTTTCTCAGTAGATGTTTATTTTTAAGGGATACATTTTACAGTATGAATCATGTTGAGGCAGAATTAAAGAACAAAAAGTAAGAACAGAACGTGGCCATATATATGTGCATCTTTTCTAAGCTAACACTGTGTTACAGACAGATCATAATTGTGCCACTGTGATGTTTGTGCTAGCACTGTATTAGCTAAGATTCAATTTGTTCCTGCATTTAAATTCCCAGATTTTTAACATATATGGGGAAAAAAATGAACATAGACAGTTTAGATCTGCCACACTCATTTTACACTGCCACAAAACTTCTGTACACAATGCAAGATTCTTGTTTACTTTAAGGCTACTTAAAATAGTCTTGTATTCCTAAAGGCATTATTAAAAGGCGGGATTTTGTTACGTTGTTTTTAAAGTTCCTTACATGACTTGAGTGGTGTAAAACTGAACTCCTGTACCGAAAAATCAGGTGACTCATCCTATATGGCCACATGTAACCTTCTATATAAGATACAGTCTCTCAAAATTCTGGTCTCAGTCCAAATATCTTCAAGGGAAGGAGGTGCCATTCTACTTTACCGCTATCCTTTACTGTCATGTGAATCATTATTGTCTGGATAGCTCTGAGCTACAGCAGCGCATAGCTGCATTCCCAAAGGAAGTGAAAACAGAAGAAAGGTTTGGAGCTATAATTCTTTCTCTTATCTTTTTTTCTCTTGGCCTGAGGGAGGGAGGAGAGTCATCATTTCTTTTTGAAGAGCAATCTATTCCTTTTCCCTCACACCTACACAAGCAAGGGATGGCCATCATGCAAACTTGACCCATGGGCTCCTCCCTCTCATGGATGCAACGCTTATTCTCACTCTGTCACTGAACTGCAAACCAAGACCCAAAGTGGCCATGAAACATTGCTCCCTACTTCCCTATATTAGGCTGTAGGGACAACCTAGCCCTTTGTTGGAACATGCACTGACTCATCTGCTCTGAATGTCTGGAATAACCCATCTTCCTATTCAGCAAGCGCAACTGTTTAACTTTTGAAAAATACTTGCGTTAGAATTCCTCACAGTTGTCTACTTCCAAAGTTTCAGCCATAAAATCAGTGCATAAGGCCCTGAAGCCTTGAGTTGAATAAATAGACAATAAATTTGCCTAATTTTGTTTGCCAGACCAAGACAAGGCACAAACTGGCAGCTGGATCATACATAAAGGCACTGGATTGTCTGTTGGCTAGGTTATCTATTGGTTGACAAAAATATGTTCAGTTGGTGTATGGAACCAAGCTGCAGCGCAACTGAATTAAGCCGAAACTTCCATGCAGAGAGACTAGTTACTAGTGTTCGTTCTTGGACTCCATGCAGCTCCTCATGGCAGCTGAGCTATAGGGAATGGTTCTGTGGCTCAGCTGAGTTGGACAAATAGCTAAATATTTTGCTCATTCTGTTGGAGACAAAACTAGGACTTTCCACTCAAAGTTGGAGTTGTGGTGCTCCAAATCACTGGGCACCCTTCACACGCTGAAAAATCTTGTCTGGTATATTTTATTGCATGTATTTAGGCTGTGGTAAATCATAAAATTCCTACTGAAACATCAGTCTGGGTGAGTTAAGCATCAACCTGTATATCAGGTGTCAGGCTTACCAAGCTAATAGGCATGTCAGAAAGTTTTCAGAACTGCGGGTGGTGTGAAATGGGAATTGTGTGTTAAAATGTTGGGATAACATTTTAACTAAGAGGCAAACGCCCACGAGAGTGTCTGCGTAAGAATCCTTGAATGCGTTCAGGTAGAAGAGACCTTCCACTTATGGGCTTGGATTGTACGTGTTTTGAGATGGGGATATTTTTTGCTTTATGCACACAGCAGACAGCTTAGAACTCAACAACTTGACTAGAACACACTTATCCCTCACTCAAAACATAAATAGGGAAATGCAATACCTGTACTTTAGGGAAGAATGGCGTACTCCCAAGGAGCCAAGTCCACTCTAAACTTCAGCAGAGTTGCCTAAGAGATGAGCCAGGCCAGAGCTTACTGCAGTAAAATCTACTCAGCTTTCACAAACAGCCATTTCTTAAGCATCATCTGTCCCAAGCAGAACATGGAATCCACAGTGTTAGGTGTCACATGACTGGGATCTAGTAAGTGGCTAGCTTCAGTAGTTTACAGGATCTGCTGTAAGATGCTGTGCCAGGACAAAAAGAGCTCTTCTAGTTAACTAGTGGAAATCCGAGCAGGCTGAACTCTCTTTCATACTAAGTGCAAATGCTGATTCCTGCTGCTGGATATTTTGACAGGGTAAAAGAGCAATGTGTTAGGAATCATGTTCAACTTTATCCAGGACTGTGAGTAGTTCACTTACCACAGTATGCAGCTTGGAGCTTCTGCCTCCTGAGTGCAAATATAAGCAGTAATTTTACTGGACAGTAGTGCAAGTCTTGTCATTTGGACGTTTGCAGGATCTGGAAAGGACAGAGGACATCAATTCACTTGGAATAGTTCCTCTGAGGGACAGTGGGTTTAATGTGGTTCTGTATCTCCTTATCAAATGCTGGAGCCATCTGTTGTTCTTCTGACCTAAACTGAAAGTTCATATTCAGGTTTTTTGAAAGATAGCATGAATGTAAATCTTGTATAAAGTAACAGACCAACAGGAAACCCATGCCTAGAAATTTAGGCTGTATCTTAACTTTGTCAAGGAATCACTTCATGCGTTTTTGCTCAGTAAGGAATTAATGACTGGTGTAAGCTGACAGCTGCAATTTGTTTTTTAGGGGTGAATGTGGATTGAGAGAATATTCTGAAGTTAAAACTGTGACAATAAAGATCCCTCAGAAGAATTCGTAAAATGATGAAAGACAAAGTTGTGCAGAAGAGCACAGGATTCCACCCTCTCTATTCCTTATGGGGACCAGCACTCAGGAATAAAAAGTGTTACACAATATATATTTAAGAAATTAAGTTGCAACATATATACCAGGCACATAATCACATAAGTAATGCAAGCCAACTCTGCATGTTTTCATAAAACTCTGCTGAGAACCTTTACATCTTTATAAAACAAACCATACAAACCGTACAAACGAGATAAAGTTGCTATTGGGCATCATTTAATAATGGTTCTACCTATAAAACTCTTAAGTGCAAATGCATGCACACACATATTTATCTCTTCATTAAATAAACAGAATAAGTCTTATTGCTTTCAAGTTGCCTTTTCAGGGCCTGCCTTCTGCTGATATTCTTGTTTCATACAGGGCTTTACAAGCCAGATTTCACCCCAAAATGCTAGCAGTGAGCGACATCAGCAAGTATCATCAAAAAAAAAAATTGTGAACTGTAACCATCCAGAAATTGGTATATTGGCAACTTTTCAGTTAGCACACTCACATAAAGAGGTCAAACTGGGGAAGGATCATTACATGCATAATGAAATCCAAAAACTTATCAGTGAGATTTGGCTTTCAGACTCACAGCTTTTTGATTTTCAAAACTTATTTTAATAATTATGTTATGCCTTGCTTATTATAAGCAAAAATCCTCCCTCACTTAAAGGGACTTAAAAAGTTTTACCTGCCTGCAAAAAGAGCATGGCCAGGCAAGGTGGAAGGGGACTAAGGAGAATAGGAACAGATTTGAAGGCTTCACAGAGTATTTCAGCTTCACGGCTTGCTTAGTTTTGTTATTACTGTTGTTGTTTTCACCTTTTTTTCTTTTTTAAAGAAGCATATGCACACACAGACTCTGTAACCTTGTTTGCCAGTAAACTGTCCGTGATTATAGCAGATGTTTCTACTTCTACCAGTGGGAAATTGTTACTATTCATTACAGAAGGAATTATCCAGCAAAAACCCACCTGACAAGCAAGTTAGCTTGACTTCATTTTATTATGAAACGATGGCTTGCCATCCTCACCATGCTTGGGAGTCTCAGGTGAAGTTACCTGCTGGTAACTACAACTTCTTAGTGATGTCTGCTCTTTTCTTGACCCAGCACAAAAACATGTGTGAGCTCTTTTTAAGAGTCAGATATTTAAAACCACTGTCACACCATTCCCTGCTGCCTACAGAATCTCTTCCAACTTGCAACTAACAAACTAAACATCATCTTTTTCTTCTTTCCAGCTGCAGAATTCATCAAATTCCCAGACTTTTTTTTTTTAAAAAAAGGTTTTGCTTTATGTTTTAAGTTAGAATTAAGAAAATTTATTTTGAAAGTATAGTAGATCAGATGATTTACTGTAGCTACATTATGTGGAGTGTAAGGACAGAATTATAGACTCATGTGTAATAGTTTTCCTAGCTGCAGACACTATGCTACAAACCACTGAAAAGTCCAGACCTGATTCAGCAAATGATTTCTGCAATTCTTAACTTTCTTTACCCTCTGAGGAATTCCTCTTAGACCTTAAGTTAAGTGCATCCTTAAATATATTGCTGAATCAGGGCAAGATTATGCAGCACTTTGCAGTGTTGTGGCCCTCAAATCAACATTTTGTATTTATAACTCATGTCAATCTATGTGTGTGTTTTTAAAGCAATATGTATACATTATGTTATTTTGGAAATGACAGTACATTCACAGACATGGAGATGAGTCAAAATATTCCTGAGTTGTTAAATGCGAATATCATATACTCCTACTGTAGTGTATGTGAGCATTAAAAGAGAAAAACAAAAAAACACAGCAAATAAGAAATTAGTTATCTTTTTAACTGCAATATAATCTGTGAAAAAAGGAGATTTTATTTCTTTCCTCCTATTTACTTAAAAACAAAACTTTCTGTGCTAGCATCATTTATACTGTGTACTCTTTTGTATTCTTTTTGTGTGTTTTGTATGTCTGTGTGTTATTCCCAGTACTTTCAGGTAAATAATATAGAGTTGCCATTTTTTTTTTCAAGCTTTTCACTGCAGCTCCATTTGATGTATATGGACTTGTGAAATCCTTTTTTAATGTACCATCTGCATGGATCCAACAAAACATTTTTCCAGTCCCTGCAGCTTTTTGTTACAGTTTTTAATCATGTATATAGTTATATGTTATTAAAAAAGTAAAAGGATATTTTCTATGAAGTTTTTTCCATTAAAAAGGTTTAGAGAAAGACTTTACAGACTGAGACTCCTTTGTTGTTGACAGAGCTATAAAAATATTAAAAAAAATATTTTCTTAGCAAAAAATCTGTTCTCACAGTAGCTTTATTTTCATTTGCAAAAGTGAATGAAGTAAAAGGACGATTACATTTTCTGGAATATTATTGCAGCTGTATGAAAAACACTTGCGAATTGCAGATCTAGGTCATAGCCAAAGTTCATCCTTGCCCTCATGGTCATAAAGTTTAGCTATTGGGGAAGATTTGAAATCATCAGACCCAGTGGGGCACCCTTGCAAACTGCTGCATCACAGCTTGATTTTTGGATAACGTTTAAAAAAATTTTGATGCCTTTTCTTTCTCCAGTAGATGAGTCACAGAGATGATTAACAATCAGATCATTTATGGAGTGATATTCCACTTGTCTTTAATTTCAAAATCCTAAAAAGGGGGAAGAGGACAGACTGAATATTAATTTGACAGTCGATAAAATTCACATGGCCAGGTACTATACAGCTCCTCCTCAGGCAATCCCTTAATTCCAAGATTACTTTCATTGCCAGCAACAGCGTTCCTCTTTTGAAATGTTGCCTGTTTAGACAGTGTAAAACAGCTACTCAGTAATAACAGTGAGCTACTTCATTGTACGGCAAGCATTTGTTATACCTCAGCATCACAGCATAATGCTACTGATTTAATCAGTGCTCTAGAGGCAATCACTGTACATTAAGTAACTTGGCTAAAGCAGATGGGACAAAAGAGAACCACAATTAAGAGTAGCAGTGAAACTGAAATCTAAAAAAGGAGCACTGTTCCTGAAAGTCTGGGAAATCAAGAATATAGTAAGCAGGGTTCCATTTCTGCTTGTCTTATCCAGTGGCACGGACGAGCCTTTGTCGTGGCCCTGCCTGGGCAATAAGCACTTTCCATAGTCTTCCTGTCTCTCTGACCTGTTTGCAACCTGTTTCACCACCTCAAGCAGTCACATATGGCAAAAGAGTGTTTTTCTAAAAGCAAATTAAAGTAAGAAAACTTGCTCTGGAACCCATGCAAAACAAGGGAGTGTTGTCATCTAAGGAAAAAAACAAAATCCAATCCATAGTAAGCAACCAGTCTGTGGAGCCCCAGGCAAATGAGAGTAAATGTATCAATAAGTGTGTATGTAGGTGTAATAAAGTCAGAGTTTGGAAATAACTGTGTATTTCTTCTGGAAAAGGATGTGAACAAAGGCAAAAAGAATTTCAGTTCTGTGGCCTTCACACAAAGCAATGGATGTTGACAATACTTGGGTAGCATTGACGCACTGATTAGCACCTGTTACAAAGAACCATCTCTCCCTTCTTCCCCCCAGAGGCCAGAATGAAAAAGCTTGCCTTGCCCAGCAGTGTTACAGGGCTCTCTTATTCCTCAGTTCTGTCCTGGAAAAGCCAGAACCTGTAATAACTCACTGAGTTCAGGGCACCAGTTTGGCTAGGGAGGAAGTCAAAGACAAGCAATACACTATGCTGTTGCTTAAGGCTCCCTCCTGCATGGAGGTGTAAACCTAGAGCTCTGGAGAGCTACATTCACAAGCACCTTACATTTGCATCCATGCATCTCCATTTACCGCATATTAAGCCTATCAACACAGGAAGTGAGTTTTCTAATCGCAACTTTATACCACAGTGACTGATACTGAGCACTGTACAACTCATGCTGTCTCTACGAAGAAGCAGGAGAAGCCTCTGTGGCTATTAGATGCCATCAGCGTTCCCTGCAAATAGAGCTCTCTGAGCACAATAGACTACAGTTGCATAAAATACATCTTTCTGCCTTGTTAATCAGAGGGTTAATTCTATACTGTATTCTCAGTGTCCACTGACAGCACGTGGGTGTCAGGGAACTAGATGTGCCTCTGCCAGAAAGCTTTTCAAGGTGTGCCATGTTCTCTGACAACATTCAGTGGATTGGCTGTCCTGGGTAAGAAGCCTGAACGCTGTTTGCTGTAAGGGAGAGCATCAGCCATCCATGAAGAGAAAACACAGATGGTACTGGCCCTTCTCAGGTCCTGTTTGGAGCGTACACAGATGAAGTGAAACTAGTGGCAAGCTAGAGTCAGGCTACAAAGAATAAGAAAAGTGCTTGGAAACTTTTGAAGTGAAGCAGGGGACTCTGGCACTTTTGAAATTTGGGCCATTTATAAGGTTGGATTAAGCTGACGTGAGAGTAGTGGTGTAATTTCGTGTGACTAAAGCGTGACTAGAATATGCTGCCACCTGGGTCCCATTTTCCTCTTCCACATAGTGCAATGAGGAGTGCTGGCTTGCTGGTTTCAATAAGCGCTTGCCTAATTTTTTTAGAGGACTAGAACTTACACACTGGAATTCAAGGTTAACACAAGCCAGGTATTATTATGTCCCGCTACAGTGCAAGTTCAGCCATTTTTGTGGTCAAGAGCAGGTTAAGCTGTCTGTGTAGCCACAGCTGCTATACTGGAGGAGTGCTTAGTGCCAAGTGCCTGACTAAAATAAAGGCCTAGAGGACGTGCACACATGTATGACTGAGAATCTGTCCCGAAGAACTGTCAGGAAACAGAGGCAAAAAGGTAACTTGCTTCTTGGTACAACTGAGATAGGTCACCCAAGCTGTTGTATAATGTTTCTAATCCCCTTAGATTGCTGTTAAAGGCAGAGAAAAAACACATCTACATGCTGATGATTCATAAGAATGTGCTAAGTCTCAAACAGTTCAGCCAGCTGAGTTTAGGTCCTGAATCCTCACCAAAAGTGAACCTCATTCCCCTAGCACAGGTTACTGTAGAGCCCAGCTGCACAGCAAAGACCACAACTACCTTTTTCTGATATCTACAAATTTAAATCCCCTCAAACCACTAGTGAAAGGAAGGACAGCACCCATGATCTACCATTTCTCTGTGGCAAGCACTTGCACTGTTACTTGCCATGGGTTTATAGGATGAATTTTCTAACAGTAAATAAGAGGCTGCCCTGCACTGTGCACATACTTTATGGAGGGTCTTTGCCATCAGCTGTAATGCCCAGAAGTCTCCAATGCCCAGGAAGGGTCTCTGACACAAATCAACTTAAGGATCAATGAAGGATATTAACTCAACTTAACTCAACTTAAGGATCATTGCTGATATATTCCCCAGTGAATTACCATAACCAATCCTCATATTGTCTTCTAATCCTAATATGTATCATCTAATCCTGCAACTCTGGGCTCTTTTCAAGGTGCTTTTGTCTGCTTGATGTCTCCTGCTGGGAACTCCTAAATAAATCTAGATTGTGTAACCACAACAGCAATACACTGTAAGAAAAGCTCAAGCTGCAGAGTTTGCCAAGGAGGCTGTGCACACAGTGTGCTGAAGTAACCCAAAAGGCTGCTTGTGAAATGTTTGTGCTGCTGGCAGGCAGCACATTGCCAGGACAGATCACACACGCATTTGCACATCAAATGAAGCTGCACTGATCTGAGAGCATGGGAAAGGCCTGTCTTGAACGGCATGTGTCCTACTTCCTAAACATGTATATTTTACACTTTACACTTGGTTATTGGCCAGATTGAAAGTACCGCAAGTTCCCCAAAGCTTGTCGTTTTGCCTTTGAAGTGGAACTGTTTGGATAATGTTTCCTTTGGCAATTTATCTATGTAACAAAGCAGAAACCTAGCTCCACTGGCCTCTCAACAGTCCACTGCTAGCTTTTGTCAAAGTATTCATGCATTTGTGTATGCTCACACACACACAAACACACCCAAAATTTGATCATTTTTAATGACCTTGCTTAACTACTATCCTTTTTCCTCATGGCTTCTCATGACGGGGCTGGTGGAATTTGTACTAATAGGAACTCATTTCATTTGTGGACTTTTCCCCTGTAAAGGTGTTCTTTGTAGAGGTGCATGGTCAAGTTTCTATTTCTTTCAGCAGCTGAATTAGCAAGAAATTTGTGTGCAGCTCACTGCCCCTGATGAACAAAAAGAGAATGTGTCTGCACTGGCAAAAGGGCTCCAGCTCACACTCCACTGGTTTTCTCAGCCTCTCCTGAGAGCACAGGATGGGATGTGGAATAGGATCTCTTGCAATATTTCTGCTGTTTCCCTGCTTTCTGTTGGTCCAAAACCTCTCCCACAGTCTTTGGCATTCTAAATCCAATCTAAAGCACAGTCAGTGCCAGGCAAGAGAGGCCGCCTCTTCTCTTTTAACTTGGACCCTCACAAACACAAAAGTTTGTGGGAAGGACCCTGCATAGAAAGGTCCTCCTCACCCCATGAAGAACTTGCAGGGTAGGGACAATGGCTAAAGTAGTCCCCTTGCATCTGCTGGCCCTGACGCTGATCAGAAGGCCCAGCTGCCCAGGCGCCGTGTGCAGATGGCTCTCACGTGGAGCTGGCTAGCAAGATGCCCGTCCCCAGGTTGCAGTGCTGTGGGGGTTAACCAGATGGCCTTTATTCAAATGCAAGCATTGTAAGAAGCGCGTATTCTCTTTTCAATACAACCTGGTCATGAAAGTAAGGAGAAAAACACATTGTCTCCACAGAAAAGTACATTCATAAGAGTTACCAGCCTGCGGTTC